CTTCTATATATTACTATCGCACTAGTATTCTGTGTGTGATTCACTTACAGTTGTGGCGCAAGTTACCATAATTCGTTCGGTCTTCTTTCTTCTGAAGATACTCTGTCCTTTTGCCAAAGTGTATCCAGGCTGATTCAATTATTTTAGATCCACGCTTTGATGGAATAAAATATTTTCTTATCTCTTCTCTTACTGTTAGCCTTACTCTAACATATTAAATGTTAGGCTTATCACTTCTACAGTAGTTAACTTTTCCTTTTGTAACTTTACTTCCTTCTGCTGTTATCTGTCTGCTTCTGTCTGTGGTTCGTGCTCATCTCACACTATTTATATCTTTATCATTTAATCCTCTGTCTGCCTTCTATATTCTTGATGTCAATGTATTGCACGTGACTTCCATTAGTATCAACATCAATGAATTTTGAACAAAACTTCCTACAATCATCTGCTTTTAATTCTTATAATAACAAAAACTAAACAATAATAAATTATTCACTCACAAAAACAAATTAATCAATAACATCCAAACTAAACAGTCTTTTATATCATGACAAATACAACATTTACAATAGGGAAAGAAAATGTTTGTCTGAACTTCCTAAACCTTCAGTTTAAAAATATACACGATGGAACTTATGTAAACCTAATTCTTTCCCCACATGATGAGAAAAGTAAAAATTTTAACATTAAAAGGATTTATAATAACAACACTGAGACTGTAAATGAATGAAAATGTTAAAAAGAATGTTTCAAAACATAGAACCAATGCACTTCAAACAAAACTAATGATACAAACAAGAAAATAATAATAATACAAGAAAAGGAGAAAAAGAAAGGCAATATGAGAACTGATAGAAAAAACAAAACGTTATAAATGTATTCATGGATCAATACTAAAATTAACTGGCCTATGGTATAAATTAAGTTTCATTTGTTTGTTACTAAGCACAAAGCTACATAATGAACTATTTGTGCTCTGCCAACAACGGTATCATAAACCCACTTCTAAGCCCTCAGAACTGAGCCAATGGGAGACATACGTTATCCTTTTAGATATGGGTAAGTCAAAGCATGCATGTCATGACCTTTTCATAGTTATATTCAAAATTGAATTACACAACTTTTTCATTTATGTGTGTTAATAAACTATACATCAAAATGTAGTTTATAATTCAAATTTTTATATTATTAAAATTTCTTAATTTTAAAATGAAATATTTAAATAAATTCTCAAACTTCACCTCTGACATGCCCCTAGAGATATCACAATATATATTCAACCTACATGGACATAATAAATGCCTATAATTCTCTTTGACATTGCTATTGAATATATTTATAAAAGAAAAATTATATTCCAAATACATAAACAAAACTGTCAGGAGAGCTTGTTGTGTTTAAACTAAAGATGTTGATCTGAGCTGTAGTAGAATATTTCAACCTATTCTTACGTAAGTCAGAAAAATAGATAAGTTACATTAGTTTTAGGGCACTACTCTAGTGCCTAATATATATTTTCAGGTACTAAAATGCATATTTAAAAGCTACATGAATAATTTTTGGACAACCAACATGGTGAGAAAAAAATAGGCTTACTAAAGTAGGTACCAAAGTGCAGAAGGCCTTAAGGCTAAAATAAGTGCAAAATTTCTTCTTGTTTTTTTTATGTACATTTTTTACTTCTTGTTACATAATTTTACCACCATAATTCCATGAGGAAAGAACCTAAAAACTTGAAATTTTGCACGCATACTAATTGGACCCTGAAGGTGTGCACCTAGGTATTATTACTCATGCACAAGAGTGTGCTTCTTTTGGTGAGGTAAGCAAACGAATAATCAGAGAGAAAAGAATATGTGACCACTGTAGCACCAAGAGCAAAAACCTAGATACCTGAAATTTTGCACCCATACCAAGTTGACCCTGAGGGTGTGCATCTGGGTATTATTACTTATCTATGTGCATGCATGCACATCATTTTATGCGAAAATCCATATAGAAAAGAAATTTAACTACCATAGTTCCAAGAGGAAAGAACCTAGAAACTTGAAGAAATTTTGCACCCATATTAGGTGGACCTTGAGAGTTTGCACCTGGGTATTATTACTTATCCATGTGCGTGTGCAAACATCTTTTTAATGAGGCAATCTAGCAAAAAAACACATCCAAAAGAAGTGGTTGCTTATATAACAACTTCTAATATATAGAAAAGCCAGTGCATTAAAGTAACAATGTGTTCCAACAATGGCCTTTATATCATGTAGGTTAGCAATAAAAGTATAACCAAATATTGTTGTTAAGATGCT